ATTTTCCATGCGCAATTTTTGCTCATCAAAATAAGGGTCTTCGGAGAGAGGGGGCCCACCACAAGAGGGGCAGATGACATTCTTCAAAGCTTCTCTAATGGCTATGTTCTCACATCTGATTTTATCATTTTCTGCCCTCAGTGCACAATTATCTGCTCTTTCATGCTGTGCCTTTATAACACAAATTTGGAAATAGAATTAATTTAACTTTATTTTTAGGAAAATCTATGTAACTGTATAACATACAAGAAGTTTGTATTTTATTTTATTATTAATTTTTTCAAAAGAAATAAAAAATTAAAGAATAAGATCTTTGTGAAAATAAAAATAAAAATAAAAATTGTATTATAAATTAATAATAAACCTTCATCTGGGTCCTTCGATTTTGGAACCAAAACTTGATCTGACGAGGATGCAAACCCAACTCTCTGCTTAAAAGATTCCTTGTCTTTTCATCTGGGTGTGGACATTCTTTGAACATCCTAATAAAAAATAAAACATAAAACACACACACACACACAAAAACCTTAATATCATCGAAATTAGAGAAAAATATTCAATTTTTTTTTTTAACTTAAAACAAAATGGCAAAATATAAAAACAAAACAAAACGCAGAAGATTCCATGAAACGTTCATCATATGTGCATGGAATACTCGAGTTGTGACAAAAAATGAAAAAAAAAAAGAAGATAATCAGAATAAAGGAGCATACGCTTCGAGTCTCTGGATTTGGTGGGCCGTGTGACGGTGGTATCGCTTCTTCCTCCGGTGCGGATCGGAGGCGTCGTGGTGGTCGCCGCCGCCGCCACCGCCGCTAGAAGCGCCTCCGCCGCTGCTAAACTCCATCAAGAATATTTATTTACTCACAAAAATCGCTTTTTTAGTAAAATAGACACTGAGGTGCATATTAATATATATATATATATATATATAATAATTATTTAATAATATTACAGAAGAAGAAGCTCCCGCGGATTTGGAGCTAATCTCATGACAAGAAAAGCTCTCTTTAACAATCGAACAAAACAAGTGATTGAGAGAGAAGAGATAAATATCTGGGATTTGGATATGGAAAATGATATGGAATTTAGGGGAGATGATTTTTTTTTCTTCTTATATTATTTTTTTGTTTGAAAAAAATTTAAAATTGGTGGTGAAGAAAGCATCTGTCAAGGCACAAGCCATGTTTTCATTTCTGGCAGTGTGTGTGTGTGTGTATCTAAATATTTGTAACGTCTCTCAAGATTTATATATATATACAGCTTTTGTATATATATATATATGTGTGTGTGTGTGTTTTGTGTGAGATGAGGAAATGGAAATGAAGAGAAATGTTTGGAGGGTGGGTAGAGGAAGGTGTGGAGTAATTAAGAGTGGGGATTGGTGGTAAAAAAGAGAGAGGAAAATGCAAAAGGCCAACCCACCATAATAATATTAATAACCATATAACAAATAATAATGACACTACTATTTCTCTCTACTAGCTACTACAACTAAGCTCTACCTATATGTATAGTATATGTGTATGTCTGTGTATACATGTACATAAAAGATACGAAAAGAGGAAATGAGACGAATGATTCTTTTTTTTTTTTAATAACACACCAAATGGGTGGGACTTAGACCGAACTCTTAACATGTATATAAATAAGGCCCTAAATGGGCTGAAAATGGCCCTAAAAGGCCCCAAAAATAATTAGTCATGGAGGATCCTATGCTAGCGAGAAAGTCAGCAGGTCGGTTCCCTAGCAGAAGATGTGCGCGATCCGAAAGAGAATCGACTGAAGTGTGACTCTAATACACATGAGAAGATGTTGAATCTGCCACGTGCCAGAGGCCAGAAGTCAATAGAGTGATGACAACGGCATCGTCCAACTCTATCCAAATGTGAGAGGAGATCGAGGCACCAATCTGAACCGATCTGAAGCACACGAACCTCCGCGTCATAGCTCGAGGAGGCTTGAAGAGGGGCATGAAAAGCGATAATAAGAGCATTGCTATGGTCCCTAATCAGACCCCCATCTCCGGTGGCTCCGGTAAGTCAGTCGAAGGATTCATCAGTGTTTAGCTTAACCCGAGGAGGCTCGAGTCTCAGCCAAACAACAGCTCTGGGACGTGGATGCTGGACATGCGGCAGTGGAGGTGGTGCAAAACGATGAGGTGGCGTGCAGTCTGTCCAGTCTCTCGGCGTGAGTCTGCCTAAAGCGGTGATGAGAGATAGATGTCTCTCAACCTGAAAAATAATATGGGAACACAAAAGGTAATATCCCTACGTTTCGTATTATTCCTTTCTGTCCAGGTGGACCAAAGTATCGGACAAAAAATAAGGAAGCCCACGTGCCTATCGTGTGTGCTCTGTGTGCAAAAAAAACTCAGAAGCTCAAATAAGTTATTTGTGGTAAGTAGGGATATGTGGGTGTAATTGGAATAATGCTCTCATACTCTCCTCACAATCTCGCTCTCAAGAAACAAATGGGTGAAGGTCTCAGTCTGAAAATCGTCGGTCTCATCACAACAATAGCATCGCGAGGAAAAGGAGAACCCCCTCGTCTGCATCACAGTAACAATCGGTAGGCGATGCAAAAGGAGACGCTATGCATAGGAAAGCATAGATGGTCGGGGTAAGAATGTTGGTATAGATGGCCCCGAAGAGAAGGTTGGGCAGGTCACTCAGCCGTACTTCCCCCCAAATCGAGGTCGTAGAGAATGCACCCGAAGAAGATGTAAGTCTCCACCTCATATCGTCCAAACCGTCCGAGATGAGTATCTGTTGGATCTGATCTATCACCTGGTCACTAAAGCCCGCTCCAGTACCCAGAATCCTCTGTAACATTTCCCTATCTCAACCCCCATCCGTTCACGAGTCTTTCACCTGCAGAAAGGTAGGTGGGTACTTGTCCAGTACTCGAAAGGGAACCCTCGTCAAACCACCACCTATCCCAAAAGCTAATGTCCCCCTCACACATAGTCCGAAAAAAATGTGTTTCTGAGCACGTCTACCAACCATGGTGAATGGCCTCCACTGTCTGTTATCGCGGGCGGTGGTCGATCACCCTATAGGGGTGGATAGCACCTCCAGGACAATACTTCAGACGAAGATTTATACTGGGCCCAAAGTGACTTACCCTCCCTAAAGCGCCACCACGTCTTATAAGAGAATGCATCGACGATCTTCGAAAAGCGCCGGATCTCGAGGCCCCTCTCTGAGAAGGGGCGGCAAACGGAGTTCCACTTCACCCAGTGGATTTGTCTCTCTCCGGGGGCGACTGACTCAATCGTTAAGCAAGATAATTGTTAAATCATCATAATTTTCGTACTATTTGGTATTGTAAAACAATAATTTGATATTTCACAATTAGATCTATCTAATTATTAAATTGTTGCATATATAGGCGATATTTGTGTTGACTCTAGATAGTTCATTTAGTTTTCTCCTTCCTTTTTTTTTTGACATTGAGATGTAATATTTATATATATAAAACACATATAATATTCAATCTATGTTTATATTCAATTCAATTAATACTTGTGCGAACTTGATTACAAACAGTTGATTTAGTTCATATTCGAACAATGTCATGTTAAAATTAATTACACTTCTTACTAACTATTGTAGTAGATCGAAATTGCTTACATACTGATGGACGCAATTATAAGATGTGCTCACAAGTCGTCTATAAAAATTTCTTATTTTTTCAACCACATATCCACTATACACGATTATGTTAATTTTCTGTCACATCAGTTGGTGGACATATTAGCTCATATCCAATATAGACATAACTTTCTGTCACATCTATTGGTGGGTATATTAACTCATATCATCTGAGATTGTATGATAAAATATACTGTAAATCAATATGTATGTAGTTAGCATAATAGACATGTACAATTTTAATTACAAAATATGTAGATTTTTCACAGTGAAAATGTCATTCTTAGATTAAAAAAAGAATGAAATCTTTCACAAAATCAATTTTAATTACAATAAAAAAAAAAAAAAATAAAGATCCACAAAATCAAGATTGATGTATTAGACCGACCAATCCAAGTTGTTATGGTTGTACATTATCTATATATGTATGTATGTATGTACCTGGCAAATGGTGGTGGAATGGAAAAGGTTTAGTAAACTTGTAACCGACGGATTTATGATTTTTCTCATTAGATAAAAAGAGAGTGGTGCAATAAAGAGGAGATTGGAAATTCTTGTAATACAATTACATTCATTAATATAACCAAAATCAAGAGATAATAAAATTTGAAGCTTTTTCAAATTATATTTTTCTTTTTTAGCTGCTTTTAATTTCTAGTGTCATTCAACTCTTCATTTCCAAGAGTATTGGGGTCTTTTTAACTTTTAATTTTGTTTTTTGGTATCTTTATTTTGATTATAGAATTGTTATATATGTGTATTTGTG